CAATGGCAATAGGCTGATGGAGAACAGGTTTAGGTTAGAAATCAGAAGGCAATATTTTACAGTTAGTGTGGCCAAAATCTGGAACCAAGTTTCCAGGGAAGTGGTCCTCACCCCTACCTTGGGCAAATTCAAGAGGAGGTTGGATGATCACCTGTCTGGGGTCTTGTGACCCCAGCATTCATTCCTGACTGTGGCAGAGGGTCAGGCTAGATGATCTGTTCAGGTCCCTCTTGACCCTAGCTACTATGAAACTATAGGAGAAGGCCTGGAAGGCTACATGGACATGTGACCACAGAGAGACAAACCACCAGAGATAGCCATGAATGAAGAGTCATCAGGAAGGAAGGAGAATACAAAAGCAGAAACTTGAGGTTAACAAAGCTTCCCTCCTTCTCTTCCTCCATCTCATCCTTTCCCATTCCTTCTACTTCCTGAGAGGTGTCCCCATCCCCTGAGACCACTATGGACCAAGGACATACCAGCAGCCCGTCTCTTGCACCACACTGGAGGTAGGCTCTGGTCCTCAGCATCCCACCTCCAAACTGTTGACACCTAAGAAAAAGAGCCTCAAAGTGGAGCCTGCATCCTGACCAGATATACTTTAACTCTGATGACAGCCCTAGGATTGGTAGATACAAAATTGCTTGATTGTTCATATTGTTGATTTTCTGTTATCACTCTGTATCAATAAGTTTGCCTATAACCACATGGAAGAGTCATGGTCAGTCTGAGGGTTGTGCTCACCTGGAACAAAGGTATAAGGGCTGGGTCCTAAATCCAGTGCCAACAAGTGGTACGTGGCACCAGCAGGCAGGAGCACTAGTGCCCAGCACAGGTGCCCAGTAAGGTGCAGCTCTGGCCAGTGCTGCACATTGCAGCAAAGGGTGCAGCCTCTGCCAGGCCATCTGTATCACCAGCTCTCCCCATGTACATGTGCAGCTCTTGCACTCACTGGGCATGGAAGGGAAGACCCTCACACTGGAGCTGGCTACCTTCCTTGCTGGTGCTATATAGCACAGGAGGGAACTTCAGGTGCCTTTCCCAGTGCACAGAGCTTCCCTCTACACCCAGCAAGCATGGGGAGCACTGGCAATAGATTGTCCAGGGGACAATGAGCCCCTTGCTGTGATGTGCAGTACTGGTCTGAGCCACACCACACCCTCACAGCCCCCCACATATATACAACCCCACCCCAACATACCCTATGTTCTCCCACATGCACAGCCACACCCCCTCACAACACCCTCCCCCATGCCCCCTTCCACTTGGTGGTACTTAAGGTTGTATCATTTTAAAATTGGTGGTGTGCAATCTGTCAGAGTTTAAGAGCCACTGTAGTAGAACATCCAATATTTTCTCCCCTGTAGTTTATATAGTTTGGTAACAGTCTATTGACTCAGGTTGATCTGTTAAAGTGTGGAAAGAGAGGAGATAGAAGCATAAATAACATTAAGCCAAAGTGGAAGGGATATTTACTTTGAATGCAGGATATGAAATCTATTTCTCCCTCACTATGTATGGGGCCTATACATAGACTGCTATGCATTTTTTATGGCTGCACAGTTTAAGGTGGTAGCATTACAGATTCTGCTATTGGATCTGTATTTTTCAGTGTAATAAGGTTAGCCTGTTTTATTTGCTATTTTTCAGGGAGGATAAGAAGAGCTGTAGGATACTTGCCTTACAATATGTGCAACTTTTTTAAACCATTAACTAGATGGAGGCAATGTTCTCTACTGACAAGATCAATGAAATGGGATTCAGGAAGCCTTGGTTCTAGTCTTGGCTCTACCATTAGTTTGCTGTTCAGCCTCAAGTAACTTTTTCATGTAAGAACATCGGGGAGAAAGGGGCCTTCCCGATCATCACATCTAATCCCTGCACTTGCAGGTAACTCATTTTCCAAGGCAGTCCACAAAAATATCCATTTTAAAGTTTCTTTCACACACTACAGACACCCCACTCTCCACCCCAAACATACAGCATGCCATAGAGAGGGCAGGAGAAACAAGGGCACTGCTAATGTCTTTCCACTGCAGTGGAAGGAAATGAGATTGAAGTATGCCCATCTACGTTTTCTCCGCATCCGTCTTGGGAGCCTGAAGTATAAACTCTTTAGGGAGGCACTGTTCTGTAGTTTTATATATTTCATAGGACATTAGGGCTGGAAGGTACCTCAGAAGATCATCGAGTCCAGCCCCGCCCAAAGGGCAGGAAGTCAGCTGGGGTCACAGGATCCCAGCAAGAGAAGCATCCAATTTGCTCTTGAAGGCGTTCAATGTAAGTGCTTGAACCACCTCCGATGGCAGGCTGTTCCAGACCTTGGGGGGCTCGGACAGTAAAGCAATTCTTCCTTATGTCTAGCCTGAAACTGGTCTTGCAGTAGTTTATGACCGTTCGACCTTGTCATCTTTTGGGAAGCTCTGGTGAACAGATGTTCCCTTAGATTCTGGTGGTCACCCCTGATAAACTTATAGGTGGCTATCAGATCACCCCTGAGCCTATGCTTTTCCAGGCTAAAGAGCCCCATGGCTCTCAGCCTGTCATCATAAGGTCTGTTTTCCTGACCTCTCATCATGTGCGTGGCTCTTCTCTGGACTCTCTCTTTCAGTGTTAGACACCATCAGGTTCTCATCCACCCATTTGCTTGAGCCTGTCCAGGTCAGCCTGCATCACTCTCCTGTCTTCTGGTGGGGATGCTTTGCCCCAAAGTTTGGCATCATCGGCAAACTTGGCCAGTCCACTCCTGACTCCTATGTCTACATCATTAGTGAAGATGTTGAACAATATGGGTCCAAGGACAGAGCCTTGGGGGACCCCACTGGTCACTGGACACCATGATGAATGACTTCCATCAATTACTACCCTCTGGGTCCGACCACGGAGCCAATTTCGCAGCCAGTGGATCATGGTGATCACTTGTTTCATAAGACAGACATTTTTGTTCTGAAACAAAAAGCAACATCTGCAGATCCTTTGTCTATGCAAGCAGCTGACTAGCTACTTAACTAAAAGGACAATCTTCCAAATCACAAGCTTGGTCTTCTCAGAAATCACTTTTAAATACGATCCTTAACTATCACTATGAATTCCTTCCTATGTATGTGTTTGGCACCTGGCATAGGCCCACCACAATTTGCATAATAGATCTAGGATAAATAAATCCTCCCCCCATTTCCTTATGGTACTCTCTTGGGGCTCCTACAGAACTCCAAGGCTGCATACAACACCAGAATACTAACGTCACTGCAAGCTGAAGACATTTAAATTTGTCAACATCCCTGCACACAAGAGATTAATTTTCAGCTTGGGCAGAAACTGGGGTGAGAGAAAAGGAAAAAGAAAAAACTATTCAAGATGAGTCAGCGGTTATCACCTTCACATCAGCTGAGCAATAGCATAACTAAGGAGGTTTGGGAGGCTGAGGCCCAGATGCTGACTCACAGGAGGTGCCAGTATTGCTTACTACCCCTTAGAGGTCTTTGCCACATCAGACACAACTCTGCACATCTCAGCCCTAGAAGCTCATGCCCAGTAGTGTTGTGGGGTGGAGTGGGGGTGACACTCCCTGGCCAGGGATGCTTTGCCATAGGAGGCACAGCCCTGCACCTGGGTGGTAGGGGAGGGAGAAGAGTAGGGCACCAAGAGTGCCCCCCCACACCCAAAAGCCTGTATTTGCCTGTTCCTTAGTGGCAGCAACCCAAGCCTGTGTTGCTATTGCTTCAGCAGCAGCCACCCAAGCAAGGAGTGACATGGCAAGTAAGACTTCTCTCCTTTTCACCCCTCCCTTCCCCTAAAAGCCAGGGGTCAGCATGATTTCCACCACCCCCCTCCCCCCTGCTTCCCAACCTCAGCTTTGGGTACTGAAAGAGGTGGCTATGTCTCTGGGTCTCAGTAGTACAGCCCTTTTGCAGTCAACAGCTCTATTTACAGAGAGAAGCTACTAGTTGTTATTAAGTATCTGCGTCCATTTCACCAAATGCATGATCACGGAACCATGCTTGCATGAAGTGTTCTAAATAAAAGTCTAAATTGAGAGTGCTCCAATTTATTTCTGATCTACTGCAGATGATCACTACAAGCATGGGATTATACAATAGGCAGCAATCCTACAAATTTTGCTCCTCATGGGGTTAAAGTTTATCAAGCAAAGGCTTTACTGGGGGGGGGGGACAGCACTCTTTCCAGCTACCGAAACTATACAGACTAGAGTATGACTAAGAAAGTACACCCTTATCGACACATAGTTTGGCCTGCCTCCCATTCTTGTTAAAAGTTATTTAGTGTGAGAAGCCTGTTTTTTTTCCTGATGAGTTTGTCTCCTCCTTTTTAATATACAAATAGGTACTTAATCTCATCGCATTGCTTAGATTCAGCTCCCTTCTTTCTCTATTCTGTAGCAGAACATTTTCACCTCCCTGGACATTCCAGCACAGACTTCAGAGTAGCTGTTCATAAATAAAAGACTTTAAAAACCTCAGTGTAAATGTTAAAATTGTTGAACACTGAAATCACAAACAGACTGGATTGTGTTTTCTATAGTTTCCAGCAGAGACTGTGGATTCTTACCCTATGACCTGGACTATCTTTTACAGCCCCTACTTCATTCAGCAGGTTAACTACCTTGTTTACTCCTATTGGTCCATTCAACCCATCTTCCTCTCTCTCAGCAGTGCCCTTTCCTAAGCTTTGTATTTAAATCCCCTTTCATTTACAGCCCCCTGATTTCTGCAAGTCCATTTATAGATTCTAACAAAGTAGGCCGTCACTAGGGGTGTGCAAACCAGGCCCTGTTCAGTTCAGATACGGCTTGAAACAAGGACAGCGATTCGATTTATTGATTCGGATTGCTGTCCCCGACTCAATTTGGCCGAATCCAAATCTGAAGATTTGATGCCAATTTGGAGAATCAGTGATTCAGACAGACACAGCTTTAAAAGTTTTTTCTACATACCTTGAAGTAGCAAGCATGGCTTGTGATCACTACAATGCTGGGGTGCATGGAGCATCCCACAGGAGTGCAGTGGGGGCCCCTCCACATGCTCAGCAGTGAATCTGGAAGTACTTCTGGATCTGCCAGGGAGCACATTGGGGGGCCTCCCT